TTATGAACAATTTTTTTACAATATATAGAGTCCTTTTACACCAAAAGTAAAAACTCAAATTCAAGTAGAAATTTTATTTGTCACATACACATTACACAGTCATACATAGTACGATATGCAGTGAAGTGCTTTTACAGCGGTCCGTGACCTTAAAAAACAAAACTAATACTCCATAATTTAGATTGGTACTGATATTAGTTTGATATTGATATTAAATAATTATAGCGTATATATATATATATATATATATATATATATATATATATATATATATATATATATATATATATATATATATATAGATGATCAAATTTACTTAAAGGGACAGCTAACTCCCTAAAAACCTTGAGACCACAATTTACCTTTTGCCTTCCCTCATTCTAAATAAGTTAAACACAAAACAGTAGCTCAAATTCCCTCACAATCTGGCTATGCATGCGATGTGACTGACAGGATTAGATGAACAAGCTCCTCCCACCTCCACATCTTTCAGTAAATCAGCTCACTACCATGCTGCCTTGAGCCTCCTTTAATTCAGTCTGTCTATATAACAAAAGCTTTAATTTTAAAGGGATAGTTCACCCCAAACTAAAAATCAGGTAATCGTTTGGTCAGCTTTCAAATGTTCCAAACCCGGTTGACTTCATTTCTTTCTGTTAAACACACATATATTTTTACAACAGCTGCAAATCTGTGACCATTGACTGCTATAGTATTTGTTTTTCCTACTATGGAAGTCAGTGGTTACCGGTTTTTAACATTCTTCAAAATATTACCTTTTGCATTTAACATATAAAAGAAAGCCATAAAGGTTTAAAAGGACATTGAATGTGAGTAAGCATTCATTTGTGGGTTCACTATCTCTTTAAATGCATCCCTACTAAATAAGAAGATGGAAAAGATTCACACTGGGTCGTATCAGTATGGAAACCACATAGAAAAGCACTGAAACAAGAGAGTTTGCACTGCTGGATCATTTTAAGAGGAGCGGTCATTCCAAACTTTTGGATTTATTTGACCAGTCTGGTTCTAATAAGAGGCTTTGCAGCACATATGCAATAGGAAGAAACAAAAACACAATGTTCTTTCTTTTTGAATATGAACAGACAGTTGAATTATGATAATTTGTGCCAATGTGATGCAGGTTTATAGGGGGAGGGACATGCAGATGTACATGTCATCGGGACAGAAGGGAGATGACGGGATGTGTTTCTGCAATGAGCCTCAGCTGTTCAGGACGGTCAGGTCAAAGAAGACTGATTCTAATTACCATTGTGTTTGATTTTGACATCTCAAGCTTAAGGAAGGTCTGGTATGCATAATTACACAGAAAACATTCTAACCAGGATATAAATCCTGCACTGGTATATGACTCCATCTCAGACCGCCACTTGGTCTATAAAAACAGACCCCTTTGTGTAAAATGTATCGTCTCTTTCATACTTTCCCCAATACATCATTCAGTTATAGTCACTAATTCAGTTTTATTTAAGGCTGTGGATGACCGCTTCTAAACAATCAATAAAATACAGTCTGATATCAACTCATAACTTTTTTGACATTTAAGTGGCGGGTGATTTTGTATGATCTCAGGTGCCTTCATCTATAATGTGTTTTCATTTTAAAATGTTGTTTAGGATGAATATGCTCATCATCCAGACTGTCATTTTTATCTGTGTTTCTGAAAAACATTCTCTCTTTGTACTACACAGCCTAAAACACATGCTGTGACTATTCACACTCACTGGGCATGCACATATTTTGCAGACATCTGTACTTGCCATCCCAGGCTCATTCTGAAAACGTACCTCAATATACACTTCTGGAGAGCGGCAAATACATCCCAGGAGCTACATTTTATTTTTTTTGCAGTTTTTGTTTTTGCAAATAGATAAGACGCTGCTGTGTACGATTTTTGAGATCTCAAATTTCTCTTATGGGTGCCATTCACACCTGCTGTTCTTGTGTAAATCCACTAGAGGCCGCTGTTGACTGGCCGACTGACTGAATGAATGCCAGACTGACCGATCGACTGACCCACCCTCCTTCTACCTTAAAACGAACCAACAGTATTTTAAAAAGCACAGATTGATCCTCCCACCCACTTCCCTCAACCCAACCAACAATTTTAAAAAGTTATCTAGAAAAGGAAAATCTCTCGTCTGATTTTGCCACATTTTTAGGTTTTACCTCACCCTGTTATTTACTTGTTTATTTTAGTTTTTGTATTCTATTTTTGTCTTTTAAGTTTTCTGGAACCGTGCTTCACCGGGTTCGAACCCCGTCATCATGATCAACTCCTCTCTGCGTCTCAAGTCCACAAATGTACATGGCGAACTACTGGATAAACTGGTAACAGTGGAAAAAACCATCCATATGAGGCAACCGGTCAGCTGGTAAGCACGAAAGGAAGCGGCATCATACCGCCCCGTAGCGTTCCTTTAAAAAACAAAATGCAGCCATACGTACTTCTGGCTACATAATTTGTGATCTCCAGACACGTATATAGGGCTACATATTCAGAATCAGCTTATGTTGGTACTTGCAGTCTAATTCTTGTATAATAGTCATTTGAGCGGAGCTTGACAAATCAGGGAATGATACTCAATGGAATAGTCCAAAAGACTAATTAGAGAGTGACTGTGGACAACCTCATCTTCGTTTTTAAAAGTTTGCATGTCAGTTCCATACATTGAAATAAAACACAAGCACTTCTAAACTAAAAAAGAAGTCGTTAGCATTTTCAAAATGCTCAGTTTTTGTGGTTCAAACAAAAATGCTGGAGTAATGTAGACACCAGGCATAAACATAACAAATATATGACTCCAACTTAGACCCCCACTTGGACTATAAAAACAGACCCCTTTGTGTAAAATGTATTGTCTCTTTCATACTTTCCCCAATACATCATTCATTTATAGCCACTAAAACAGTTTTATTTAACACTGTGGATAACCGCTTCTAAACAATCAACAACACAGTCTCATGTCAACTCATAACTTTTTACCATTTAGTGGCTGGGGAATTTGTCTGATCTCAGGTGCCTTCATTTATAGTGTGTTTTTGTTTTAAAATGGAGTTTTTATCTTCCTTTCTGAAAAACATTCTCTGTCTGCACTATACTGCCTTAAGTGCATGCTGTGACCATTTACATTCACTGGGCATGCACATATTTTGCAGACATCTTTACTTGCAGTCTAATGCTTGTATAATAGTAATATGAGTTGGGCTTGACAAATCAGGGAATGATACGCAATGCAATAGTTGAAAAGATCAATTAGAGAGTGACCTGATAACCTCATCTTCGTTTTCAAAAGTTGTTTTCATGCAAGTCCGATACATTTCTAAACTAAAAAAGGAGTCTTTAGCATTTTCAAAATGGTTGAAAATGCTGGAGTAATGTAGACACCAGGCATTAACATAACAAAACAAATGTGTTTTAAAACAAAAACATAGTGTAAATGGCACCCTATTCTTATGTTTTTCCTCAAAAATTGTCTCACGCCCCAGTGACTTTTTTCTTTCTTCAAAAAAATCTTTAATTTTTGGTAAACTGTCAATTTGATGTCTGAATGTATTTATAATAGCTCTTGTGGTGCATTATAAAGCCAAACACATAATGTGTTGCTGAATAAATCTGTACTTTGAATGAATAAGGTGAACAAAGGATTTCAAGAGTTCACACTTAGCTGATGAGAGAGCCCTGACCTTATAAGATCCTCAAGCCCGTGGCTCCCTCCTGTTTGCAAGGCAAGAGGGGAGTTTGAGCTCAGATAGATCTCGAGAACTCCCCTGCTGTAGTAGCTAATAAACTGGTAGTGATTGCTCTTAAGAGATAACTACTTAGCATGTCTATGGTGCACTGCAAAAAATGCTTCTCTTGCTTAGATTTTTTGTCTTGTTTCTAGTCTAAATATCTAAATTTTCTTATATCAAGAAGCATTTTTTAGACAAGCAAAACATATTGTCTTGTTTTAAGAAATAATATGCCAATATTAAGTGAGTTTTTCCTTAAAACAAGTAAAATAATCTGCCAATGGGGTAAGCAAAATAATCTTGTTTTTTCTTTTTTTATAATTATGTTTTCGGGGTTTTCACCTTTATTTTTGATAGGACAGTAGAGAAAATTGACAAAAAAGTATGGGGAGCAGAGAGAGGGGAAGGATTGGCATAGGACCACAAGGCAGCATCGAACCCGGGTTGCCACGAACACCGGAGTGCATGTGTCGACGCACTAATCACTACACCACTGGTGCTGACTTGTTTGTTCTTTTGACGTAAGATTATTTTTCCTACCCCATTGGCAGATTATTTTGCTTGTTTTAAGGAAAAACTCACTTAATATTGGCATATTATTTATCAAAAAAAGACAACATGTTTTGCTTGTTGCCAGTAGATCAGCAGTTTCTGAAATACTCAGACCAGCCCGTCTGGCACCAACAACCATGCCATGTTTAAAGTCACTTAAATCATCCTTCTTCCCCATTCTGATGCTTGGTATGAACTGCAGCAGATCGTCTTGACCATGTCTACATGCATTGAGTTGCTGCCATGTGATTGGCTGATAAGAAATTAAATTTGCGAGGTGTACCTAATAAAGTGGCCGGTGAGTGTAGATTACACTGAACTGAACTAAACTGAACTTCATCTGTGAAATCTTGTCATCTACAGCATGTTAAGCTGGTTTGAGACAATCTAGATTGTAGAAGCGCTATAGGAATAAAGATGGAAAGATTTAACCACTGAGTAATATTAATTAATTATAAGTACTTTCTGGTTGCAGTTAGAATATAGATTAGGTTTAAGCTTAGTTACATGTAATTATGAATAATAATGTAACTTTTTTGCCTTAAATTACAGTGTTACCACTTTTTCTAGTAAATCACTACATCATGTTAATAATATAATGTAATCAATTAATAGTTCTAATCTTTGGACACCAACACACAAAACACCTACAGTACTGTAGTTACTTTTTTCTTTCACAATTGAACTCTCACCTTAAATCGGAAGATGCCAGCGTAGGATTCACTCAGGCTTTGTCCAGCTGGAACCACTTTCACAAATAGAGTTGGATGCATGGTGAGACAGGACAGGGCCGCCAACAGCCAGCAGTTACCTGTAGAAGGACATAACCACAGGCAGCACATTAACACATCGGTTCCATTGACAAATGAGTGCAGCCACAAACATAAAGTGGAAGTAAAGGCTTTGAAAGAGCAGGAGACTTGCTGTCTGTGCAACGTTCAAAGACATTCCTCTGTAACAGGTAACAGCTGTTCGCCTGTCCCATGTGGGGGACACAGAAACAGATTCGGCGTTACCACACTTCATGAAAAACATGCCTAACACACCAGATCCCTCAGGAACGACACCAAACAGAGCTCCGCGAAGGAGGACGTCCAATTAATCTTCCGACCACAGGAAAACGGGATAGATATGTTGATGTGGAAAGTCGCTTGAAAACAAATAATTAAAATTTCTGCTTGAAGTGCTGAGAATAAGGCATTATTTGGGTAGATTTCCATTCAAATGAGATTATTTCCATGCGTTTGTTATTCGAGTGATGCGTTGGGATGTTCATATATTATTTAGAGAGGCCATCCAAATCCTGAGAGGCAAAGATCTGCCTGCTCTGCAATAAGATGTCTATACACATTTATTTTCTGCATGATTTAGACACAAGAACACTCGGACAGATCACAAATGCTTGGTTTCACAATAAGACGCAGCCAGATGTTGCTGTGATAGGGATTGTTTGGTATTTCCACCTAAGTATCTTGGGATACTCTTTAAATGGTGTTGTATCCTGGGGCATACAAAAAAAGAGGCAGCGTTTTCCGGAAATTAGTGGTAAATTACCGTTTAGAGATCATGTGTGAAAAGGATGTTATGAATGCTGGGGGAAGGGAATACTGTAAATGAAACCATTTTTAAAAAGCTGAACTTTTAACTTGAGAACCATTTGAATGCTGTGCGTTTGCAGTGTTACATTTGTTATGTAGTGCATGTTCAGATAGACATTGCAGAGTGCAAAGCAAATATGTGCACTGTGTGAACTGACTCACTGCTTTTTTAGTGTACTGTGCATTTCTTTGAAAATACCTCTCAAGACACTCACTATAAAAACATGTCATGTCCTGGCAAAAAAATTGCAAATACACTCTCAGAAAAAAAGTAAACAGTGGTACAAGTAATATTCCTTATTTAATTTAAAATTGTACCTTATATGGTACAGAAAAGACCTCTTATGATACTGTTTTGTACCTTTTAGGGCATGATTGAAATGATTTTCATGATTGACACAATTGTTCTCATATAAACAGTACAAATGCGTTGACCAAATCCTTCTTTATTACAATATCTATGAAAATCAATATGACTGGAAAAGCAAAGGGATTTTATGAATAAATTTCATATTAAAACAAGAATAATAAGTTAAAAGCATATAGAAGCATGAGAAACTTATAAACATTAATTATTAAGTTCTATAATACAAAATAACTGGTAAAACAAAACTATAGGTATTGTAAACTAAACATTTAAGGCATTTTAATAAACGTTTGGTAAGCATTTTTGATACAGCTTTTTTTTTTTTTTAGTTTGCTTCCTACAACGGAAAGGAGCTGGCAAAAGTCCTTCATATGCAAAGTGTTCATGCAGACATTTTAGTACTGTAAAACTAATCAAACATTGAGCATATCTCGGTACAATACTTTTGCATAATTCTATTTCTATTTTCTATTTTAAGTGATTACAAAGGTATTGTGTAAAAATTGAAGAAATATTATATTGTACATGGGAGAATGTGTTTCTGTAACATTTTTGTGAAAAATGTTGTGAAATGTTCAGCAAAAAATTGATCTTTTGATTTATGTTAAAGTAATTTTTACTCTTTATTGTCATTGGAAAAGGTGCATTTACACAAAAAGAAACCTCTTTTAAAAAAATAATTTTTTGTATTTAGTTTTATATTTACTGGCACATTTTGGATAGAGCAAATTCCTTTAAATAGTTCTTGATGGAAAACATTTGACACTGTTAAAGTACAAAGTGTCTGGTCACTGTAGTGGTACCTTCGTGGATCAGATTTGTACCATTTGATAAAGGTACAATATAGTATCTGCAGGTTTTAAAAACCAAAAGGTACATTTTGGTTTCCCATGGTACAAATTATGTCCTAAAGGTACAAACTGCAATGGTACAAATTTGTTTCTTAGTCTTAAGGTACAATTCTGTCCCTTAAAAAGGTACTGCCACAGTGACAAACGTTTATACCTTTTACTATTTTTTTCTGAGAGTGCAGGGTAAAAATCAAATACAATGGTGTCAATGTTTACCCATTCTTCAAAATATCTTCTTTTGAGTTCAACAGAATAAAGAAACTCAGTAAGGTTTAGAACTGCTTGAGGGAGAGTAATCATGAGCAGTTTTGGGTGAACTATTCCTTTAAATGTAAAAGAATGCAAGTGATAGCTTGTGTAAATTTCAAGGTTTTTCACTCCGTTTTTAGAGGGAATGTCAATCTAAGAATTTTACTGTAATTTCTTATATTAAATGTGTAAAAGTTGCTAATGAGTGGGCCTAATTTAGAATAAAAAATAAATAAAAAATGCACTATGCAGTGTCACTTGGTTTACAGTAGATAAGAGCATCTGATAAGAGATTAATCAGGGAAACTTTTTTATATAAAATAAGGTATTTAAAAGTCCTAAATTACACTACAGAGTCATAAAGTCACAATTTTGCATTCACAGAAACTAAAAATATACTAAATGCAAAACGAAAAATATTGCATCGTTTTCTAAAAAATCTAACTAAATTAGCCGAGTTTATGCTTAAAACAAAAACAAATGTGTCAATGGGAAATAAAATTTACTTGTTTTATGCTTTTTGGTTTGGTTTTATGTTTTATGTTCATGTTTTTACATAAATTTCATTTTAACCCATTTTACACTCCAAGAAAGTGTATTTTGTTCTCAAAACTCAAATTGCCTTACCCTTTACTCACTCAAATGGTTAAATTTTTTATGAATTTCTGCCTTCTGTTGAACACAAAACAAGTTATTCAGAAGAAGAGCAGTCACTGACATCCATAGCAGAAACAAAAAATACTATGGAAATTAATTGACCTTTTTTTTTCTTCGACATCCTTCAGTTCATCTTCCTTTGCATTGAACAGAAAATTAAACCCTAACAGTTTTCAAACAAGAGTAAATGATTAAATAAGGACAGAATTTTCATTCCCATAAGAATATCTATACATTTGCACTGTAAAACAAGTAAAATACTGATAAGGAATATCACTTTTTACCATGTGATACTTTGAAAATACTTTGCTATGTTAAATAAAAATGTATATTATCTGAAACAGTCAGTATTTTGTTCTTAAAATCGATTCATTTCACATTTATCTGATATTTTATTTAGCATTGACCTAATTAATGTGATTTATAATCTGTTAAAACTGGCTTTGATGTCACTATTTCATTTGGATTGAATGAAGAAACCGCTTCTGATGATACTTTAGATGCTATATAAGACACTGAATTGCACAATACAGTTCAGTAAGAAACTGTATATCTCGCCAACATTTTACTACACCAACAAAACCATTTTCCATGAACAGCGAATCAATGCCATATGCAGAAATGAGAAGACAGAGGGGGTAAGGCAAAACAATAAAACAATCCCCGCTGTGCGCAATAATTGTTATTCTTTAGGTGGGAGGAAAAGGGGGGCGGGGGAAGGAGGGCTGTACAGATGATGCCAATCCTCCCTCCGCTTTCATCCCTCCACCGGCTTCAGTACATGTGTGCTGTGTTTGATGTGAGTGGCCTGCGGCGGCTCCGTGTTGCATCTCTCAGCGGGGACTCTGAGATCAGCGCAGTGTCTCGCGGCTACAGGGGCAGAATTGGGGATTGTACATTAAGCATGATGAGGAAGATCTAGGTGGATGAAGAAGATGATGGGGGGTGGAGGAGGGCTATCTGCGTGATAAGGGGAGGAAAGGGTGGGAGCGTTGCCAAAGACGGATATTTCTCTGATAGTGCTCAGCCCTTGAGGGTGCTTTTGGGTGATTTGGTTTCTGAGAAGTGCAGTAAGGCGTTATCCCATTATCCCGGCATGAAATATGAACAAGCGTTCGCTAACAGGCGCGTGCACTCACCCAGCTGGCCCTGGCAGATATCGGTGGTGCCCATGGTGCCTTCCACAAAGACGGCATTGCTGGTGATTTCCTGAAGTGGGGGAGAGGTGGGGACGGAAGAGATGGGTGAGAGCCAAAAACAATTTGCAAGTACATGTGAGGGGTTGATGAAGACATATGAAAACACATGCCCAACTTTTTAGGTTTACAGTTTCTCTGGCTTAGAGGGACAATTCTGCAATCGTCTGCAATTATATCATTACGTAAGGGAAAAAATGCCTTGTTTTATATTAAGTGGTCTTAACTACTAGGAACTTAAAAAATAAATATCTCTTATGGTGCTTTTTAGGTGGGATACTTAAAAGACACACTCCAAAAAAAAAAAAAAAAAAAAAAAAAAAAAATATATATATATATATATATATATATATATATATATATATATATATATATATATATATATATATATATATATATTTTTTTTTTTTTTTTTTTTTTTTGGGAGTGTATAATATATATATACATATATGTATATATATATATAATACACACACACATATATAATACACACACACACACACACATATATATATATATATATTTATACAGTATATGATTGCTTAAACTACTTATTTAAAATGAGCTAAAACAACACAGTTCTTGAAATTTCTTTGGGACAACTTATTTTTTAATGTTTAATCCACATGAATTTGTTAAAAGTGTTAAGTTAACCAATTTGTGTTGTGGCAACATGAATGAATTGTGTGGAACTAGGTGGCATGGGTAGGTTTCAGGTGTAAGTCATGGGTCAAAAGTGCAATTATAAATGCAGTTGAATAACTGATGTAATTAGATGCAGATCATTTGTAAAATTTAAGTACAATGTAAAAACTTATATGCACATAATAAGTACACTTTACAGGGTATACTGAGGAATCAGAGTGAAATTCAATACTTCTTAAGACTTTTTAAAGACTCTTTTCATGTATGTTAAGACACCATAACCACTTTAGATTTCAACCAGTAACATTGGTGACATTTTAACTTACACTATATTTACTAAATACAGATTGTGAGAAACTAATCCTAAACTAAAACTATATATATACAGTGCATCCGGAAAGTATCCATTGCGCTTCGCTTTTTCCACATTTTTTTATGTTACAGCCGTATTCCAAAATGGATTAAATTCATTTATTTCCTCAAAGTTCAACACATATTTTTTGAAATTGTTGCAAATTTATTACAAATAAAAAAACAAAAATCACATGCACATAAGTATTCAAAAGCCTTTGCTCAATAATGTGTTGATGCACCTTTGGCAGCAATTACAGCCTCAAGTCTTTTCAAATATGATGCCACAAGCTTGGCAGACCTGTCTTTGGGAATTTTTGCCCATTCCTCTTTGCAGTACCTCTCAAGCTCTATCGGGTTGGATGGGAAGTGATGGTGTACAGCCAATTTCAGATCTCTCTAGAGATGTTCAATAGGATTTAGGTTTGGACTCTGGCTGGGCCACTCAAGAACATTCACTGATATGTTGTGAAGCCACTCCATTGATATTTTGGAGATGTGCTTTGGGTCATTGTCTTGCTGGAAGATGAACCGTCACCCCAGCAGGTTTTCATTCAGAATGTCTGATTGCTGCATTCATCCTTCCCTCTATCCTGACTAGTCTTGCAGTTCCTGCTACTGAAAAACATCCCCACAGCATGATGCTGCCACCACTATGCTTCACTGTAGGGCTGGTACTAGTCTGGTGATGAGCGGTGCCTGGGTTTTCTCCAAACGTAACACCTGGCATTCATTTCAAAGAGTTTAATTTTAGTCTCATCAGACCAGAGAATTTAGTTTCTTATGGTCTGAAAGTCCTTCAGATGCTTTTGGCAAATTCCAGGTGGGGACTGGCTTCTGTCTGGTTACTCTACCTTACAGGCTTGATTGGTGGATTGCTGCACAGATGGTTGTATTTCTGTAAAGTTTTCCTCTCTCCACATAACAACACTGAAGCTCAGATAGAGTGCCCATCGAGTTACTGATCACCTCTCTGACTAAGGCCCTTCTCCCCCGATCACTCAGCTTAGATTGCCAGCCAGCTCTAGGAAGAGTCCTGGTGGTTCCAAACACCTTCCACTTACAAATGATGGAGGCCACTGTGCTCGTTGGAACTTTCAGAGCAGAAGACATTTTTCTGTAACCTCCCCCAGGTTTTTTATTATGAATAAATTTACAACAATTAAAAAAAATAAAAAATCTTTCTTCACATTGTCATTATGGGGTATTGTGTGTAGAAGGTTGAGAAAATAAATTAATTTAATTAATTTATGGAATAAGGCTGTAACAAAAATGTGGAAAACGTGAAGCGCTATGAAAACTGTCCGGATGCACTGTACACATATAATAGAACTGCAGAAATAAAGGTATGGTAATAATGGTTACTACAGTAAACACAGCAGAGTGATGTCAAATCTGGCAGGACTTTATTGATTTTATAAACAACATAGCAACCCAATATTCGTAGATTAAATTCAAGCAAACTTTAGCAGACATTGTAGAGCCAAAAATAACACAACATTTAATACTTTGTAAAATGGCATTCATGAATTTTATGGGCCTTACATTTTACTAAATTAATTTATAAACTTTTAATATGTTTTAAGACCGCACAGATGCCCTGAATTTACAACACAATTCATTTAAATTTAAGTACATAGTAATAAAGGCCACTTAATATAAAGTTATACCAGACACTTGCAAATTAAATTTTTTTCTGGATCTACAATTTATAGTTATGTGTTTGACTTGAGTATACTTATGTGTGTTAAAACGAAAATCTATGATGGCATTTCTTTGAAATTAAAATTAAATGTATGCATAAAATAAAAAACTTTTGTAAAAAGTTATAAAATAATTTTGTCATGTTATGCTTATACACAGTACTCATCATTTGAAGTGTCTTAAAACTATTGAACAATGCCCATTTTTATCCTAAGACAATTTTGAAAAACATTTTTGATTAACTTTGATTGATGACTATATAAATGTTAAAGCAACACACTCTAATGTTTTACCTTCACAATAGTTCAGAAAGTAATATAAGATGGAATAATCGTGATTTTCAGTCACATTTAATAAAATTTTTTTGATATATAAAATCATTAAAACAAATAATTTTAGAAGAAATGTTTTCAGATGCTGTTATTGCTTTACCTTAAGCATGGGCAGAATTTACAGGGTGGTTTTAGTAGCTTCTTTATTTTTAACAGCTTCCTATAGTGTAACATCACCTTTAATGATCCCATAAGACTAGGGCTCTTGTGTTCAATGAAAATTCCTGCACACTGTGATGCAATAAAATTTCTCCTGCACACTCTGGTGTATAACTTTTAATCAAATTAAGTTTCTTATTTTGTTAATTATAACAACCCAATGGTGTTATTTATTAATGATTGCTACTATTAATTCAGTTCATTTGCTATAAATTCACACATACAATCTATAAACATTTTTGTCTGGAATGTCCACCCAAGATGATAAAAGACTATTCTCACTGTAGTCTAGTTAACTTATGAGTGAAGTTACCTTAGGGCGCAGCCACTTCACTGCCTTCTTGGGATCTGGATCCGCTGGGAGACCGAGGGAGCTTTGATTCGCTGCAAACACCGAGTCTGAGAACAGAACTGCGGATTTGAGGCACGTCTGCAGCAGGACTTCATAGTCTTGATCCTTGAACTTGACCGGATTGTCAATGGAGCCTAATTCAGACATCTCTTCAGGTCACTAGAGAGGATCAGATGCGTCAGGACTGTTTGACAAAACTTGTGTTGAAGTTTTTGAGCTTTAGCAGCACTTTTTAGAGCAGCACCTTCTCCTTCTACCCTGTTCCCTCCCTCTCATGTTTATTGCCCTGGGAGGCGCAGAAACTTGAGACGTAGCATTTCTGATAATGTCCGGCTCGATTTTTGGCTCCCTGAGATGATAGTTAACAAAATAAGCAGTGCTAACATTTAGATTGTTTCATTCAAATGCTACAAGTACACTATGGGAAAAATAATGACAACACAAAAATTGTGTAGCTGTTGACAAATCTCTACGTAATTTCTAAATCTACAAACTGACATTTATATTATGAATTTAACAAAAATGTCCAAAATTAGCATCTCTTGAATGTATGGTTGACTCGTAAATTTAAATTCCTGCAAGCATGTAAGATCCACTTGCTCAAAACCTGAGTTTTTTTCTTTTATGAACACAAAAGAACATATTTGGAAAAATTCTGGTAGCTGGCATCCATTGATTTACATAGTCCCCCACCCCCCTACTATAGAAGTCAAAACGGGCCAGCAGCAGCATTTATCAAAATATCTTCTTTTGTGTTCAACAGAAAAAAATAAATAAAAACTCTTAAAGTTTTAAAACCAAATGGGGAGAGTATTTTTTCATTTTTTGGGTAAAGTATTTCTTTAAATGGTGTGTAAAATAACATATACACCGCTAGATGGCACTGGAATGCTACTATGTCGTTTCTTTTTTCTGACGTATTTTCCTCAGTTGTTTCCTCGTTATCATACATGGTGAAACAAAATTTAATTTTTAAAATCAAAAACTAAGGAAAAAAATCACATGAGCATAATATCCAATATATATAACTTTTTTTGTACTTTTAACGTTTTAACTTTAACCGTTTTATGATTTTCTCTTATGATGTTTTGTAAGGAGACAAGATGTCTGAGATTAAAACCAGGGACACTTCCTAGTAGCCTACAGTAGTCTACATATCATTTTGTCTCATAATATAACAATTATTACACTGAAAAAAATAGTTTAAAGTAACTAATGCAAATACGATACAGATAAAACAATATTGCACTAACAATGACACTTTACAAAAACATTACCATTTGCAATTGTGTTTAACATTGTTATTTTAGAAGCAAAGTATAATGGGAGTTTTTATTGTAACGTTAATTTGTAATGCAAATGGAGTGTCTGATCAACCTCTTTCACAAGTTTTGACAGACAGTGACATCATATTGAATGGAAACAGTATTTTTGTTGTTGTTGTTGTTGTTGTTGGAAAATGAGTTTTTAAATTTAACAATGATTTTTTATTTATGTATTCTATCTTTGGCAGGAGTCATTTTAATTATATTCGTCATTATAACATCACACCACAAAACTATAGGACATCACAGAGATACAGCTCTGGAAATAGATACATTATTGTAAAGATGCAATGATAGGTTAATCTCATTGGCCTTTAAAATGCTGTCTGAGAGAAAAGTTCGCCATCTTGCAAATTCTGTCAAAACTAGAAAGTTTGGCTGTCGGTTAAGCAGGGTTTGTCAGATAATTAAGGAAATTACCACCTGGTGGCAGATTAACACCAATGATTGAGAGGAATCTGTAATAGTTCTCAAACATTTGAATTAGCTTTTATTGTTTTTTTTTTTTATTATTTTTTTATAGCAAATATAGTGGAAACATTACATATACAATTAAAATCAACGTTTTAGAAATTTTTTTAAAAGAGTTCTCTAGGCATTTTTATAAAAGGAATATAAAATGAATATTTGTTTGACAAAACAGTATAATTATGCTGTTCTTAAAACTAAAATACTTATAGACTAAAGACATTTTTTTAACTTCTAATGAAATTACTGAATTGGGTATATGTACCCAAGAAACTTAGAGGCCATAACTCATTCAGGACACATGCTAGAGCTTCCCTTAATGATACACCTTAAACATGGATTGTTGTAAAAACTCATCAAAAAGAGAGGAAGCATTGTCTCCTAATTGACATGATATCAATTGTCAATTATGGGGAAAGAGTTAATATCACCTTAAAAGTTTTCAATTGGGTAGAGATCAGGGGATTGAGCTGGCCACTCTTACCTCAATCTTTTGTGTCTGACACCAAGTTATTGCTTGATTACTTGTGTGTTTGGGTTCACTGTTTTGTTGAAACATCTTCAAATCTGTTGTGATGTATACAAATAGATCCACGGTACCTGGGGCCTGTACCCGGAAGCTGGATTAGCTGATCAGCCGGTTAAGTTTATTTTGCACCAATCCTTGGTTAAGCCCATGACAACAAAGAGCGATTAAAACTAGGCTACCTTTATGGTAACTAAAACCCAAGATTGATGCAAACTAAACTTTACTGTCTAACCCACTCATCCGGCTTCATGGTACGAGCCACTGGTCAACGAAAAATAGGTCCAATGACAGGATGAGAAACATCGCCATATGATTTTGTGCCACCATCCTTCAAGGTCTTGTAAGTATACTGGGGCTTGAATTCAGTACCTGGACTTCATTTCAAACACTGTCAAGGGTCACTAGATCAAAAAAGAACAATTTCATCTCATGAGTCCACATTTTCCTTTGAGCCAATCAATGTGTTCCATTGCAAATATGAACCGATTCTGCATATACTGTTTTTTTCAGCAGTGGTGCTTTATAGGATGTCTGGAAGTGTCTGGATCTGGACTATGATTTGTTTTAACTGAAGTTGTTTGTTGTAGTCCAGGTTTCCATGTTTGTGTTAAAGCATTTGACAATATTTTGGATGCGCATTGACTTTACCTCTTTATTCCCTTCTACAATAAACTTTTTACATAAATGACGTTCTTCAATGAATGATGTTTGGAACAACCCATTTTACGTCACTATTCAGAAAGAAATACATTTTATCCACAATGATATATGCCACATTTGCTTACCTTTCTCCTTCATAAAGGATCAGTAATGACAAGCTGATTATTTTCTCGGAATAAATGAATTCTCTCATTAAACTCCACACTGCTATTATTTTGAACACCCTCTTTCAACGCCAATTACCCAGAACAAGCAGCGCACAACAGTTGAGTGTTGTTTTTCTATTACACTACCTCATTCACAAGTAAATCATTTGCAATGCACAAACATCAATATTGCTAATAGCAGTGGTTCAGGAAGTTACTGACGTTGTACTGCTATTTTTATCAATACAGCTGTATTGCCCAGCTTATTTTCTTTAGCATATGTGACCCTGGACCACATCTGATGTCTGAATAGACAAAAATATATTGTATGGGTCAAAAGGATCGAATTAAATTTATTTTATCCCAAATATTATTTGAATATTAAAGATGCTGTTTCATGAAGATTTTTGTAAATGTTGTACTGTAAATAAATAAAAACTAAATGTTTGATTAGTAATGTACATTGCTAAGCACTCAATTTTGACATAATTTAAGTCAATTTTCTCATTATTTAAACCCTCAGATTTCAGATTTTCAAATAGTTGCATCTAAGACAAATCTTATCCTATTCATCAATGGAAAGCTTACTCAGATTTTAGTTTATCTATATATCTTATTTACCAAACATTTACATGTGTAATATATTTGTTTGTTCTCCATTTGTTTACCGTCAGTGTTATGCGCATCTGTGGTTGGAGAGTAGGACATGTAAGAATGTCGCGCGGCATACATTGTGCACACGCAGTTTGTTAAACACTAGGTAAGGTGTAAGGGGCAAAGATTTCTTTTCAATAACTGCTGTATTTTTCTTTTGAATAGTTAGGATAGAGGTTGGGCCAATAGATTGTTTTGTTTTAATTATTTCTATTGTTTGGACGCTGCCCGCGTCTCATCTCTTCAACTCTCTCATCTATCTGTTCAGACATCCTATGTCCCATTTGTTTTATGTAAAGTACAATGTATTCTTGTAAATATTTAATTTTTTTTCTATGAACATATTTTTTGCATTTATTATTATCACTATCTTTGTAAATAAACTTAATTTATTGCAGTTAGTTAGTCTTGGTATTTTGTCCCTCACTTGTTGATATTGTGTGTTTGCTTATGTTTCACCCAAAAATGAATGTTACTCTCTTTCCCCTAGACTCACCATCTTTAAAATTGTAACATCATCTCATAAATTGTCTGAAAACAAGCAATATTTAATATTGATCTATATTGTCATATTAAAACACATTTTTTTTGCTAAAAACATATTATTAAAAACACAATACATATTATAAACATGGAATTGATCCAACCCCAAATCACTAAAGGGACTAAGCCAGAAAATGTATGAATGAATGAATGAATAAATGAATGAATGTATGAATGAAATTGATCCTTAGAACAAACCCATAAAACTGTTACTAACTTTGAAGTGGAATCTTTTACGACTTTTCTACTTTTTTCTAGGGCTGTATTTTGAAACTCCTGATAAGAGTTCGGTCACAAAGGTAAGCGATGTTATTAACCAATCATATTAATATCTATATAAATGGAAAGTAAACATGTGTTTAAGCATATTACTATTTAACCCTTTCGTATCAATCAGATCACCTGACCTCCACACACTACCCTCACTTTTCTTCACAGATTGACTAGCTAAAGACTTACATGGGCTAAATAAACATGGTTCATAATGAGACGGATGTGAACAATCGCTGATGATTTACTCTGTTATTGACGCCTATGTTCTGTGGGCTACATATGGTCTTTCAGTTAGAGAGGATTATGTCGTAACGACAAAGGTCGCCGACCCGCCCAGAACATTATCAGGCTCCCGGCACGTCCACGACCCCTACTGCTCCCACGACCCAAACCCAGAGCTTGTCTGCTCGCAGGCATCAATTAACACCAGTCGTTCCCAGGCACTGCCGAGGTGCCCGATGGAAATCCGTATTAGAATAGGATGAAAGAAGGTCAGGGGGTCAAGAACAGAAAGACAATTACCCTATATCTTGCTATTTAAATATCCTGCCTCACTACATCACTTGCTATCACTATTTATTCTATTTAACCATCTCAAACTCTTTAC